CTGGGTCTGGGAGCTGGTAGGAGAGAACGTAGGTTGGAACTCTTTGGGCGGGGAACCTGGGAGCTGGGTGTAAGGGGAGGCTAGAACTGATTGGGCAAGGAGACTGGAACTGGGAGCCAGTGAAGGAAATGGAGAACACTGAAATCGGACAAGTAGTTGGGGCAGGAGACTGGAATTAGGAACCAGTGTGGGAAGAGCAGTGGTATTGGGGAAGGGAGGCAGATCTGACAAGGAACTTGGTGCAGGGGGAGACTGGCTGGTAAAGAAACTGGGACACAGAGCCATGGAGAAGGGAGGCTTGGGCAAGGGAGACTAAGATTTGCTGAAAATCCTGATGGGGCGATTAGGACTCAGGGTCACTGGTTGGGAGGATAGAGACAGATTGGAAAAGGACCTGGGAGAGGGCATTGGAACTGGCTGGGCAAGGAGACTGGGACTGGGTATGGAGCAAGGAAGAGACTAGAAGCGTGTGTGTGTGTGTGTGTGGTAGGGGCGGGGGGTAGATATTACATCTCCCTTGGACAATGAGCTTGTAAAGAGAAACTAGGACTGGCTGGGCAATGAAACTGGGAGTGCGATCAGAAGCCTGAGGAGTAGAGACTGGAATGAGGTAGACAAAGAGAATTGGTCTGGGACAAGGAACAGTGGGGAGGGGAAGAGGCAGGAATGGAACAAGGGTAAGGGGTCAAGCTTGGCGTGAACAGGCAGAAGAGTCTGTAGAGCACACGTCTCTCCAGAGCCTGGAATGGAACCCAAGATTCCCGTGTCTCACCATTCCTCTGCTGTCAGCAAATAGCTGTGAAACCCAAACTGTTCCACTCCCTCTACCACTGGCAGCCATGGAAGATGACAACCTCCTATTGCTATCAGTTACTTGATCAGCTCAAGGGACTGAGCTCTGTGCAGTAAATCTAAGGATGATCTGGATGAGAAGCTGGATATGAGTCGACAGTGTTGCTGCCAAGAAGGCTAACGGCATTTGGGGCTGTATAAGTAGGGGCATTGCCAGCAGATCGAGGGACGTGATCATTTCCCTCTAGTTAACATTGGTGAGGCCTCATCTGGAGTACTGTGTCCAGTTTTGGGCCCCACACTACAAGAAGCATGTGGAAAAATTGGAAAGAGTCCAGTGGAGGGCAACAAAAATGATTAGGGGGCTGGAGCACATGACTTATGAGGAGAGGCTGAGGGAACTGGGATTGTTTAGTCTGCAGAAGAGAAGAATGAGGGGGGGATTTGCTAGGTGCTTTCAACTACCTGAAAGAGGTTCCAAAGAGGATGTATCTAGACTGTTCTCAGTGGTACCAGATGACAGTACAGGGAGTAATGGTCTCAAGTTGCAATGGGGGAGGTTTAGGTTGGATATTAGGAAACACTTTTTCACTAGGAGGGTGGTGAAGCACTGGAATGGGTTACCTAGGGAGGTGGTGGAATCTCCTTCCTTAGAGGTTTTAAGGTCAGGCTTGACAAAGCCCTGGCTGGGATGATTTAGTTGGGAATTGGTTCTGCTTTGAGCAGGGGATTGGACTAGATGACCTCCTGAGGTCCCTTCCAACCCTGATATTCTATGATTTGATGAACCACGTGGGTGCCAACATGATAGAATCACTGTTTTTTTTTCAGATTGCTTTTTAAAAGGATAGGAAATTTACACACACCCCAAACTATATTTAAAGAACGTTATTAAGATGGCAGAGTCAAGCACACAGAAGTTAGGAAATCCCAGAATTGAGGTTGCCTGTGAAACCTTACTTCAGAACGGTTGGGTGCATGCATTGAGCTACAGTTTTTAATTAGCAGAGGGGTAGTCGTGTTAGTCTGAATCTGTAAAAAGCAACAGAGGGTCCTGTGGCACCTTTGAGACTAACAGAAGTATTGCAAGACTTGCATCTGAAGAAGTGAGGTTCTTACCCACGAAAGCTTATGCTCCCAATACTTCTGTTAGTCTCAAAGGTGCCACAGGACCCTCTGTTAGTTTTTAATTACACAATCACATACTGTTCCCCCCCCCCCCACCCAGGACCCTTGCCTCATTCAGGGCAAAGGATGGTTCTGCACGGGGGTAAATCAAGTTGTGTCTACGGGATCCTTACCTCATTTTATTACGGAAGGTGAAAGGCGGGCAGTAGTGAATGAGGCAGGGGATTGCCTCATGGTGAAGGCAAGTGACTGCTGCCCTGGAAAATTGAGTTTCTATCCCTCTGCTGCCACTCCCCCCCCCCCAATTCTGACATTTCCTAAAGTAATACAATTATTTTCAGAGAGGGAGAGTGTCAAATATATGGAGCGAGAGAGAACAAGAGAACCTTTTATTGGTGAGGGACTGTTCCAAACCCCATTGAAGTCACTAGGAGTCTGTCCATGACTTCGGAGCATGCCACTTGTGATAGTGCTACTGACTTTCTAGTTATTTTCGTGTACACTTGAGTTCCAGTGGAAACAGTTCGTGAGGAAAGAGTCGGAGGTTATGGTTTTGGCCGAACTAACCCCATTCTCTGGGAGCAGCAACTGTGCCAGATATTTATCCCTTTAATTAGTGAACCAGGTCAACTGGTATTTAAGAGATTGCGCCTGTTCTCAATGACCGTTCTCTCACAGTACTGTAGTTGTATAACCCTTGGGAGTAACATGTCCAGGGAAGGGAAGAGAGAGTAGTTAAGAGCTGTGCTTAACTATCCTGATTACTTATGTACCCTAGGGAGACTACAGATATTTGCTGATTTTTGTCTTAATAAATAGTCCCCATCTCTCTGTCTCACCGTTTTAATCATATAAATCGTTCGATTATTTGGATTGAAAAGGTGAGGCTTTTTCTCTGGTTTATGTATCTATCCCCATCTCTCCAATGAAAACAAACATAAACTATACTTCGGTCCGGTTACCTTAAAACGGAGTGGGGCTCTTTTACATTTATTTGTGCTTTTAAAAAAAAAACCAAAACACCATGTACAAAGGGCTTGGATCCTGAACTCATTAGACAAACAAAACTCCCGTCGGTTTTTTTGCCTGTAATAAGTGTGAGCTAAACTTCAGCTTTTGGCGTTTACCTTCTGTATCTACAATATTATAGGAGCGATATGGACATTTCGTCAATCTTCTGAGTATTTAAAAAAAATATTCTTTCCCTTGGGACTTCGGCTTGACCAGAAAATACACAGCTTTGAATTTTGCATGCGGCGGCAGACGTTCCCCTTCTGAAATGCTGTTTTAAAAGGGAACGCTTGATCGCTAGGTTTATTAGCATTTAGTTTCATTATAATCTGGCGACGTTGGACTCTTTCTCTTTCTACTTTCCCGTGCAGCACAGAATAACTGTAGACGCAAACATCTGCCTCTGAAAGCTACCTCACTATTCAGAGACACACACACCCCTGGCTGGGGAAAGACAAGGAGGTATCACGGCTCTTGCAGGGATAAAACCTTTCATTGATAAAGATCTACTAGTATTGATATTGGATAGTGATTCACATGCTTTTAACCCCCACCCCCATATTATTACCAAAGCTACATAACTCCGGGCATATTTGCTAAGGACAAACCTCAGAAATGTCATGTTACTGCAATGCTGAGACCCAGAAATCTTGCTGGATCTACCCCCTCCTAACTAGACCAGGTTAGAAACTAACAGCAAATGTTCTAGCTGATAGGACCCCCCCCCCAACTCTATCTGCTTTGTGTTAATGGAGAAGAGATCGTGTGTGTAAACCGCTTTCCATGCAGTTACTGGCCCAATACACTATGAACGGAAGGGGGGATTTAATATTTAACTCTTCTTAAATATCGGACTTTAATGGGGGTGGAAAATCTGATTTTCTGTGCATTCCAAGAACAATTCCTTGGGGGTGACCTTTAGCACCGAGTCTGTTGAAAGAGGAAAGTAGCCGAGTGTTTATCTGGAGATGACTGAAAGCTTTCCCTGGTGGAAGTTTATGGAAGCGTTAAAGGGGGCGGATAACACGATCTTTGGAGGCGCTTGGCCAATGATCTGGAGGGGCTTGGAGAGCAGATCTCAGCTGGCAGACATTTAAATGGGAGACAGCTCGGCGCTGCTGCAATTTGTAATCAAGATCCGCGACTCCCTCTATATGGACTCACTGGCAGTTCCCTCCAGGCTCCTACCCCACTGCAGCCTCTAGCCGCCCAGCAAAGTAACCCACCGCAGGTAAGAGACCTGTGTAGAGCAAGAGACCTCACCGCTCCCGCTGACCACAGACCGCACAGGAGGGGGAGCCGCAGGCAGAGCAGGTGAGTGGGGCGATTATTTCTTACCGATCTCTCTTTATACTCCTCCGGGGCATGAAAACGGCCAGTCTCTTTAAGAGACAAGAAGGTGATAACTTCGGTGCTAGCCCATCCCCGGTGTAACAGCACTGACCTCAGGGGAGTTACGCCAGGGATACATTTGGTCCAGGTGCTCTATTTAGCCACTTTTCTGATTTTTGGTTTGATTGAGTCTCTTTCTCCATGTCGCCCCGTCCCCCCAATCGCTCTTCCTCTCTTTAAAAGAAATAGTCCTTAATTAATTGCTGTCTTGCAAAACTCTTGAGCACTTTGATTTTGCAAAGAGCCCCTCCGAGGAATGACACAGCCTCCCGCTCCCTCCCCCCCAGCTCAGATGCAGTGGAGCAGACAGAAAGGTATTTCTACTCTCAATACTTGAGATTAGGGCGCTATTATATTTATCTCCCTAGACAAACATAAGGATTGCAAAAGCCCAATTAGCTCTGCCTGTCATCTCCGCCTACAGCATCATTCCCAGCAAATTGGATTCGGCGCCCACCAGACATGCAGCAAAATCCCAGTCCGGCATCTGCGAGGAGTGACTGAAAACGAGGGAGGGAGGGAGGTTGGGGTGAAATCACTGATCCTGGCTGGAGGCTCCCAGGTACCAGGCTTCCACCCCCCCTGTGCTGCAGCCCCAGCTGCGATCCCAGGCGAGCCGGGCTCGGGGTGGGACAGTTTCCAGGGATCTGGAGGAATGGTCTCTATTGAACACTCCTGGATAAAAGATAAGTGTCAATTTCAAGGCTGGCCTGCCCTTCTCAGCCGGACTGGAAGAGATCCCAGGAGAGCCCGGCGGGGCAGATGCAGCCCGCAGAGGGGGTGTTTGCATTAGCCCGTCTAGTGCAGCAGGAAGCTCCGGGGGCTGTAGGATTGAATAGCTGGAGCCCAGAAGCCCTCCCGTAGCCCCCAAAGGTGCCGTAAGACGCCTGCGGTCTCGGTGGCGCGACCCTTCTAGCTAGCGCGGAGCTGGAGCGCAGCGGGCCGGGGAAGACACGCGGAATCTCTGTCCCTGTTCATTGCGTTTCCTCCCCCGACAGCGGCTCTTGCCTGGGGCGGGCTCAGGGAGGGCGTTCGCTGCTCAGAAGCACGGCACGGTCCAAAGCTCCCCCGCCCAAGCTGGGATGCTGGGACCTGGATCCCTCGGGCATATTGTTGTTGTTGTTGCCTGGCGACTTTCCTGCCTCTTTCGGGGAATGTGCCAGCCCGGGCACTTTAACACACAAGCACCAATACCAGTCCCACGCGGAAGCTCCCAGATCTGCCAGTTCTCTGCGCGCTGGGTCTAGCCCAGCGGCCCCTGTTATCACCCCTCTGCGGACCGCCGCGCTGATCCAAACCGAGCCCCGCTGAGGTTCCCGCGTGCAGAAAAGCCAGCGACCGCTCGGGCCCTGGTGCTGCACGCCCGGCCCACCCGGATCTGCTAGGGAAGCGCTGGCTGCGCCCGGAGCGCAGGATCGGGCCGGCCTGCCATCCCCGGCTTACGGCTGCCCAGGACGCGCACTGGTCAGAGCTGAGCGCTCTTCTCCCTTCGCCTGCTGGCTTGGTGAGCCCACTGCTGCCCCTGCGCCTTTCCCGGGTCCTGCGCCTCCTGCCAGACTCCGGCCGGGCTGATTTCGCACCCGGCTCTGCAGCCCCACTAACAGCGAGTCTCCTTGCGAGTAAACCCCCGCGCGGAACCCAGCCACCTGCCCTGCGCAGGTCCCTGGCTGCCAGGTCTGAGGCGCTTTCAACCCCTCTCCCGGGAAGTGCTGCGAAAGAGCGGCTAGTGCAAACCGGGACCGTTCCGGGACCGGCTGAGCTCGACGGCTCCAGCCTTCGCTCTTCTGCACCGCTAGGGAAGGGAACAGGTTTGAAGGGGAAACCCCGCGTTCTTCTAGCGCTGGTCCCCACGCATCTCCGCTAAGCATAGCTCCGGGATAAGGCCCCTGTATGCTGGTCACCCCGGGAGCTCTGCTTTGCGCACAAGGGCTGCCCCTGCTAGTATTTCTGCGGGAAGGGGCTGGCTTCACCATTTCCCTGGCGCGATTTGTTCCTTCATCGCCATATTTCTAATGGTTTATCCGTCAGCAACTATATGCATAGACTCGACGGACCCAGCATGGTTCATAAGTATCAGGCCTGATTTTAAAAAGATTACAAAGTAGAGGAGCAAAGCTCCCTTAGAAACAACACGGGGAAGCTGCTGAGCCACTGGGCGTGATGTTAAAGTGGATCATTTAATTTGCAACAACCTGAGAACATGGCGAAAACGGATACCTTCAGTGCCGGGTGTATCACAAACATTTCTCCCACAACCCCCGCCCCCCAAGGATGTTGTGAGGAGGGAAGCTGACTGCGATCGGGGTTTTAGTTAGTTGCATCAAGGCTCGGCTAGGACTCTAGGTACTATGGTGGTGGGGGTCTGACACGTGAGGAAGGTAGATTGATAGGACAGTGCGGCAGCAGACCATTTCCCTGCTCGGGAAGCCGGAAAGCAAAGGGTGCCCTGCTGAAGGAAGCCTATAGCATCACTTCGTGTTTTGCATCTGAAAACTGTTCTCTTTAGCCATAAGAGCCAGGTCCGGGTATGTAACTAACACAGAGAGCCTCTTCCTGATAAACTCCCCCCTCATCTAGCTACCATTGTGCACAGCGAGTCTTATTTTGTTAATCAACAGTGTTCTCAACATGGATAAAATGCAGATATATTGCTCTTAGATCTCCACTCCAATGGCATGGAGATTTATAAAATCAACCGGGAGCTCAACAATGTATGTGGCCATGCGGCCTGTTAGAATTTTTTGGGTTTAGTTTATAAACTAAACCCCCCAAAATATATATATTCTTAGCCCCAGCTTCCTTTGGATTTTACATACTGATATTGGTAACTAGAAGAGCAATCTCCGGCATTCCCTTCCCTCTCGCCTGTAGGCTACTGAGAAGTATCCAAAACACACACAGCTGATGTGTATAAATAAGAAGTAGCATTCATGTTCAAATGTTTCTGGTTCTTCCTAGAGCTCAGACACTAGCTGTGCTAGGATATTTGTTTTTGTCTTTGCTATACAAGCCAGAATTGTGCAAGGCTTTCCCTAGCACCAGCCTTTGAATATGTATTACTGTCTACTACCGCAAAACCACATCAGCACTTTCAGTGGATGTGGAGCAAAATCCCACTAGCCTCACTGACAGGCATAGTCTTATTGAAAACAATGGGACTACTCCCATGGGGAAGGCAAGTCTGGATCTGGCCCATGCACATACTAATGATACACCATGGAGTTTTAGTCCTGATTTCCTACGGGACTGTAGTTTAATAGATCAAGGGTGGGATTTTCAAAGACACTCAGTTTTATCATTAATTTCTGTATTATTCTTCATTTCCATTACAATAATTGACAGAAAAATAGATTGGCATTCTGTAGAGTGGTTTCCCTACCACCTTACTCACCAGGAGTTACTTGCCATTTTAATGCATCTGAAATCCCATCAAACAGAAGTTGGTTTTGTTAGTCCAACCTTGGTAAATATTCTCTCTCTTTGTGGATTGTCCCTTCCACTGCTTTTCCTGTACTTCAAATAGGTGCATTAGGACATTACTATACTTCATATAATCATGAATAAAAAATATTTTGCTCCTTGGAGACACAGGCGGTGGTACAAACCTCCTTAATTTGCATAATAGCCAAGAAATTGGGATCTGATTGTTTCCTTGGATACTCTATGAGGATCAGTCAGTAAATATATGTAAAATATATGTAATCACATTTTATCATAGGTGCTGGTAATAGGGCTTGAAGTGGTTTCCATTATATACAGCGTTTGCAGTTTGGTTCAATAGCTCTCCGTACCCCTACTATATAAATTGTTCCAGCACGCCTGAATCTTATGGAAATACATTTTGGGAATTTCCCACCATATTCTCTCATTAGATTCAGTTAATCAAAGTTTGGAATTGACTTCATTGGAGCCAGGATTTTACCCAACATTTTTAAGCAAGCTGCATTGTAGTAATACTTCAGTACTATTATAGTGTAGGAGTTCACAATGGAATTAAAATGCCTTTAAATTTGACTGTTTGAGATCCTTAATCAATAGCAGAAAGCATACATAAACCAAAAACTCAGATATTTTTTAATAATGAAACGGAAGGGATTTTATGTTTCTTCTAACTGATGCCATTGCTAATTCATTAAACTCCTTGATCTTCTTGGGTGATTAGAGCCTAGCCTCTAGAAAATCTAAAGCACCATATAAGTGTAAAATATTATTACTATTGGACTGCAGTGCTGCTCCCATTGAAGACAATACAAAGCCTCTGCTGGCTTTAGGATTGGACCTGAACAGATGAAAAGCAGAACTCTAAACTTGAATCTTGGCAATTAAGTAAAGGAGGAATTGATTTTCAGGAATTTTGTTAGTCATTTTAATGCTATTGGATCTTAGGGGTGAGCCAGCTCCCATGGAAGTCAATGAGAGTTGGATTGGGCCTTCATATTTGTGGTTTGTATTTACTGAATTGTTAAGGAGATTTTTCAGTTCACGTTTCTGATTCTGCCAGTGTTTCTGTAATACCCAGAATGTCACATAACTTGCTCTTGAACATTTTGTAGAAACTTGGCATTCAAGATGTATGGGCCTGATCCCATGTGCACATAAGACCCATTGTAGACAAGAAGGTAAAGTTATGGTATGCAAGGAAGCTGGCTCTTTATTTAATGAGAGATTTTGTCTGATTGATCACATTTCAATTATGAAACAATCTGGCTACCTCATTGCACATCACTTGTAATTTTTTGCAGTATAGAATTTTAAAGTTCTACAAAATTTAAGATTGATAAGGCTCTGGTTCATAAAGGACTACATTGTTCCTATATCATGGGGCCATACAGATGAATAATCCCCTGCATGTGGGCATTATCTTGGGTCCAGGACTTGTGTAGAATGTAGGAGCTGCACTTTAGATGTAACCCTGGTGGAGGAACGTGGGCAGGGCAAAGAGTAGGTGGAGTCATAGATCCACACACCCCAAGCAGAGATGGGTGGATGCCCAGAGGGAAATAAATTGCACCTTTTCAAGGGCTGTAAGTAAAGTCCTTACTAAGTAAGCAAGTCACAATCTCCCCCCACACCCAGGCTACTCCTCTGATGGTGCAGTTTAAGGCACAATCTAGCCCTGAATGATCATTCATTTTTATTATTCTGAGTTGTTTTTTGAAGTGGCCAATACATTGAATTTTGAAAAATGTTTTCTCTGTGTCAATAATTTTCATGATGACCCAATCTACCTTTTTAAATATGTACAAAGTGTTTTCCATCCTTTGGGGGTGGAGGGGCACAATCCTGCAAACAATTACTACCTTACATTTCCTTAAGTACAGCCTTAATGCTTTCTGAATAAGGATGGTTTCTTGAACCTAGGCCGTAGTGCTTACCACTGATGGAAACAACTACACTTGGTAGTAATTGTTTGCAGGACTGGGCCCTATATGACAGACTGGAATAGCCATTCACAGGTTGCCATTCAAAGAGCCTTTTAAAAAGGGAGGGGAAGGGGAGTGACACACAGATGACAAGCTTAAAAAACAAAAACAATGCTTCCGCTTTTTAGGAATACGCACATTGGCAATAACCAATTGAACAATGGAACACTAAACGAATACCTGAAGTTCCTTGTGCTGCCTAGAAAATAGCATGTGATTTTTCTGTTTTATGCAATGATGGCTATTATTTTTTTAAGGTTCTGGCACCATACTGAGTAAATAAACACTTTAAAAATACTGTCTAATTATAGTGTGGACACGTAGTTATTCAACAGATGGGAACAGCCCTGGATGGAGTCATTCTGGTCTCCTGAGAAAATAAAGTGTGTTTTATAACCAGTCTTCTTTTAAATTAGTTTAAAGACAAAACATGGAAACTAAATTCAAAAAGAAACCCGTTTGAATAACATTTTGGTTGTAATACAAACTGAAAAAAGGCAGGACATGTTCAGTCCAAGCTGACACTTGAAATTAGGTAGTGTTACCTTCAATTAGAATTTCCCAGATTTTTTTGTCATTGTTGTTGGTTTGTGTCAGACCTTTAAGGTTATTAAAACTGCATGTCTTGTTCAGTATTTCATTTAGATATTAAAAGCAACCCTTTTACATTCTCCGTAGGATCAATCAAGAATGCTAAGCTTGGTGTTATATTTGTTGTATTTCAATCTAGTTATGTACGAAGTTCCTTTCAAACACAAGCACACTGATACATTAATCTAAATGAATAAAGTGAATGCACTTAGACAAAATAGCTATCTCAATCTCCGGACACATTAACAATTTATTAAAAAACATTTAAAATAATATCTTAGGACCATAAGCAAGTCTACATGTCATATAACATCTTCCCAAACCCAGTGACTCCTAACTCTACCTCTTTCATTTTTTCAATCAGGGTCATCTGTGATCATCATAATGTAAATATTTTGTGCAATTTTGGAAAGTGCCAGGAACTAAGAAATTAACATGCATGTTTTATGGCTGTGATTCTCAGTCTGTAGCTCTGTAGATAGCGAACCAGTCAGACATTATGAGAGCTATCTGATCTGTCTTGGTCTCAGGCAGAACATGTGAAACAATCATCACAGGAGTGCTCCTACCACTCCCTGATACAATATGGGGAGTGCTGAGCTCATGGATTGGAGGAAGGGAGGTATGGCAGTTGCTTCACCTGGGACATGTGGCAAAAAGGCTCTGGTGCAAGTAAGGGAGTTATCCACACCCGCTCCAGCCACTAGGAGAGGTTAGATAGAAAGGAGACCTTCAGAAGCTGGTAGAAGGGAGGGAAGATACCTGTGCCATCAGACACAGGGAGGGGAGATAGTGTCATGATGTATCACGCCTTGAGTCACATCAGTGCAACATCCAGAGCTTAAAGAGGTCTGAAAAAAGTGTGTGGGGAGGGTCTTATCACCCTTACATCTCCCCATTCCCCATCCAACAATTAATTCTACCCTCAGCCCCCAAATCCGCTTCTACCAATTTTGCACATTCCAGCCTCACATCAGTTCTGTTCCCTTGCCCTCCATTAATTCTGCCCCCACATTTGTTCTGCTTCCCTTCCCCCCCCCCATCAGGTATGCCACCCACCCACCCCCAGTCTCACATCTATTCCTCCTGCAACTCCAGAGGTTTAACCCCTCTTCCCATTCTCAACTCAAGTATTGCAGGGAGGTGGAGGAGGAGGAGCAGCAGAGAGGAGATATCCTGTTTCTCCAAGAGGCAGGGGAAGGAGGGAACAGGAGGTACCCTGAGCTGCTGGGCTCTTTCTGCTCACCCCTTATCAATCCCCTCCTGTAAGAGCAGCTTTGGCTCCTGGTGGAAGAGCTTGGCCTGCTTCCTGCAGCAGCCCTGATTGGCTGCTCTTCCTCAGGAGGCGGGCAAGTAGGGAAAGCACCCAATCAGAGGGGGTTTACCCCCAGCAGAAATGAAATATGCACCCCTTGAGCGACTTGGCTTGAGTTTTAGAAATTTTATTTGCCAGGCCTGCAACCTGGTGCAACCGGTGCACTTCCTCAAGTGTTGCAAACTGGCCCAAATTCACTGGTATGAAGCCTCTCATACCATTGTGCAAAGGAGTCTGTTTGTTTGTGCAATGTACCAAAGAGCCAGAAGAACCTTAGTTGCTTTTCACGTTACACTGGTCTCTCTTCTGAGTTACACCAACCTAGATGCCATTACACTCACAGGGCCAAAGTTCGAGGCTTATGTAATGGGTAGATTTATACTCTGCTAAGCAAAGGGAGTTTAAACAAGCGTAGCGTTTCTGAGCCTGATTCTGCTCTCCTACACCAGTGTAAATCAAAGTAAATGGAGTTACACTGGAGTGAAAATGGTGTGAGGAGAGAGGAGAATCAAGCCACTTAAACTGGTGTAATGTACTTGGAGAGAGGAAGTGAACGATATACGCTACACACAATTGTCAACTCCAGCTATGGTTTTCACATAGCTGGAGTTGCGTAACTTAGGTCGACTTAGCCCCGTAGTGTAGACCTGCCCTTAGACTCCCTCCACACTGACCTAGAGACTTTTGAAATGGGATCACTATTTTGTAGCTCTCTGCAACTCCATTTAATGCTAAAGTGTCTCTCCAGCTATTAAAGGCTGGGTACCTCTCCTCTCTAATACACTTTTCTCTTAGACCAGAGGAGATATTGTACACTTGCCTTTTGCAGATTTCATATGAAATCCACAACTGTGTTTTGTTTCCTCACTGTCCCCTACCTAGGATGAGCCGCACAGTGTATGCTGTTGGTGGTCTGCTTCTTCTAGCTGGACTCCTGTTACCCACAGCCGAGGGGAGAAAGAAGAACCGTGGATCTCAGGGAGCCATCCCTCCTCCTGACAAGGATCAGCCCAATGATTCAGAGCAGACACAGACAAAGCAGCAGCCAGGTTCAAGGCACAGAGACCGGGGAACTGGCACACCAATGCCCGCCGAAGAGGTGCTGGAGTCTAGCCAGGAAGCATTACACGTCACTGAACGCAAGTATCTTAAGCGGGATTGGTGTAAAACTCAGCCCCTCAAACAAACCATCCATGAAGAAGGCTGCAATAGTCATACTATTATCAACAGATTCTGCTATGGCCAGTGCAATTCTTTCTACATCCCAAGGCACGTCCGCAAAGAGGAAGGGTCTTTTCAGTCCTGTTCCTTCTGCAAACCTAAGAAGTTCACCACTATGACAGTTACACTCAATTGCCCTGAACTTCAGCCCCCTAGAAAGAAGAAGAGGATCACGCGAGTCAAGGAATGTCGGTGTATATCCATAGATTTGGACTAGACTCTGCAGAATATTATTACCCCGATGCTCCAGGCATAGGCAATCATCATTGCCAGGTTAAATAAGAGTGCGTGACATAACTACCATACCTGCGTGGCTGGACACAACTGACAGGAACCAGAGTGAATCACCCAAAACGTGTGTGTGTGTGTGTGTGTGACTGACTGCATATCTATACAGAAGTATATGAATGTTCACTATAGAGTAAAAACATTTAAATTCATGTGTGAAATATCACCGAAGGCCTGTAAACACAAGGTTCAATATCACATCTATGAATTAGGACCCTTAGCATACACTCACGTTCTCCCTGCTTGCTGAGTTCAGTGCAGCTGTGACTTTTGCTAATGCTTCACTGGAGACCTTACTATTCACTTTCACGATATGAAAAGAAATATTAAATCGGAGGCATTCAGGAGCTTCCAAGCATGAATTTGATCCTAAATTTGAAATAACCAATGTTAAAAGAGGTGCAGCCATAGGTGAAACCTCACTAAAAGCCACACTTCCACCAATAGTTTCTATTATGCTTTTTTTTTTTTTTTTAAAGCAGCGTTGCTGGGAGGACTGGGGCTGGGGGGGAAGATAAGAACCACCAGGACACAGACAGAGAGAAAACATAACCCAAGGGAGCTAGAAGGAAAAAGAAGGCCAAGAGTTAGCAGGAAGGAGAGGAAAAGGATAGGAGGGAGTAGGAGAAGGAAGGAGAGAAAAGATGAGACACAAAGGAATAAGGAGACATTTTCTTCTGCTACTTTTTTGCTTTAATTTATAGACCAATCCATTTGTTATATAAAATTAAAAGAAATTACAAACAAGGAATTCATTCCTGAATTCTAACAGTCTAAACCACTTAAGATCCATTCTTATGCCACTAGATCCTCTTGATTTATTTAGGGTCTTGTAATTCAGATATCAGCTGCTTTATATATTTATGTATGTGTCTGTACTGTACATGTCATATGTATATATACAGTCTATCTACATATGTGGGTATATATGTGCACTCAATGAGGTTATGTAGTTTGTGTATCTGTACTTTCTCTCTCTCACAATATACCAATCACAAAAAAAATCTCAGTATACAACATCAAGCACAAAATGGCAGTAATTTAGCATATAAAGAGCAAAGCAAAAATTACAAGCATCATGTGACTGCAAATGCAATAACCACACAAGAGACAAAAGACATGGCATGCATGACTAGTAAACATTGCATTGTTATTGTTATTTTAGCTCTGCCACAGGCATGCAGTTCGTTGAAAAGAAGAGATGCAGAGCCTTGCCAGCAATAATCTGCTTTTTATATCCTTTACCACAGTCTTGCATTTAAACAGGATTTGGACTAAGTAAAGAGAATTTCCTGAAAATTAAGGGCTAAATGCTCCCCTTCTGGAGAAAAAGCCATGGGCGGGGAATAGTAACTCCTACAACTCCATGGGCTTCACCTCTGGGGTTATCCCGGCATTCTCCCCTTAGGGAGTGCAGAAAGTCTTGCAGGAGACTCTAGAGATTCCAGCACAGCTGTACAGAAGGTGAGCCACTCCCCACTTCACCCTAATCTTCACTTCCTCACTCACTCAGCAGCTTTCGCCCTCCCCAGCCCTATCATAGACTCATAGAATATCAGGGTTGGAAGGGACCTCAGGAGGTCATCTAGTCCAACCCCCTGCTCAAAGCAGGACCAATTCCCAACTAAATCATCCCAGCCAGGGCTTTGTCAAGCCTGAGCTTAAAAACCTCTAAGGAAGGAGATTCCACCACCTCCCTAGGTAACCCATTCCAGTGCTTCAACATAGCCAGGCCTGATTTTCACAGGGAAATCAGTGGCCACTGGCTGACACCAGGGTTGCCTTATTCTCACCATCAGCTTGTTCTAAAACAGTAAGGCTAAAGGCAGGGAGTCCAGTGAGCAGGGCACTCAGCTAGAGACCTGGGTTCAACTCCTCACTCTAGTGCTTCCACAAGCAGTAATTTCACAGTGTTTACCAGCCAGGTGAAGGAGGAAACAAGCCACGTAGAATGGCTGCTTCTGAGCGCATCCCTAGCAATACGTTTCAATCTGATCTCACATCAGTAAAAAGGCCTATTTCTGCCACTATTGATGTCACGGGGATCAGGATTGGGCCATACGTCAGGAGTAACCCCAGTGAAGGTAGAAATTCCATTCTAAAGTTACCCTCATATAAAATCAGTGTGTGTGAGAGAATTAGGCCCACTGGGTTTGTGTGGATGGGCTTCTAGTCTGAGACACAGCCTGCCACTGAGGTGCCTTTTCTCTTCTTCTGTATGCACAGGCCACAACTGGCAATATTTGGACAACTGTGCTTCCTCATATTCTATGTTTCACAACAGAGGGGAGTATAGGGCCTTAATTTCGGAGCAATCCACAAAGTATTTTTATCCATCTGGACTCCAGAGAAAGACAATTATTCTATTAATATTATGCCAAAAGGGAAAATACAGCATTGACATATCACAAATACAGGATCTGTGCAGTCATTTATTTAAAAGCCACAGCTATTACACAAGGTATCACACAGTTATTGGTCAAATCCTACATTTCTGAATTTAATATATTTTTACTGTGAGATTCACAACAGCGCCATCTGTAACACTAAGATTGCAAATCAGTGATTCATATTATTAGACTGTACACATTGGATCTGGCGTCTTCTGACTTTGCGGTTCTGACACGTTTCTGCGTGGATTTTAAAAACTAAAATCTGGAGTTACAGGAGGTAAATTTCCACTGTGTGGAATGTGAATAGTTAGAAAAATATGGATATTTAATGTTATTAATACAAAGCTTTTTTCATTGATATGATAGGGGGTTTGTTTTCCTTTCAATGACTTCTTCCGAGTTGGTGAAAACAAGAAGTCATTCTGAAACCTGGCTGAAAGCTTTAAACTAGTTATTGTTTCTATTCAGTGAACAGACACACAGCTAGGGGTGAAATCCTGCCCCCTCCCTATTGAAGTCAATGGCAAAACTCCTATTGACTTTAATAGGGCCATGATTTCACCTTAGGTTGCTAAGGACCATATCCTCAAAGATAACTCCTCATCAGAAGTTAGGTGCCTAACTACCTTTGAGGATCTGGGCCTAAGTCCCTACACTCCATAGCCAGCAGACAAAGCTTTAGATGTTTCTGGCTCCTTTATTTAACATTCCTTAGAGGTTAACACTTTCTGAAGCAAAATTTGTGAAGCTTTTAAGATGTACATAAAGGAACAGTTATCTATGCAAAGAGCACAAAGGAACCCCCTCTTTAGGCAAAATCAAATGTAAATTTTATACAACAGACTTTTGTGAATTGCTAGTTACTGCTTGGGACTAAAAAGTTCTGCTGACTTACAATTATACAAGATATATAATATCTACCACAATATGTATTTAAATGTCTGCTTTAGTCTAACCTCCCCTCCCCCAACTGACTATATAACCTAAGGCTGCAGTTTTCATTCTCAGTCTCATGAAACAAATTTTCATTTTAAAATGGAATTCTACTAATTTTGCAACTGAATAGAATTGGACTCTCTTCCCCCCCCCCACATCCAGCATTTTATATGTCAGTTTAACTACTATTAAATAAATAAAACAGCTTCTTCAGTCCATTTCTTTTGGTTTCCTTTTTTCCACTTCCCTAAGTTTCCAGCTCGCTCTGGGTCTGTTGTACTGATCTCTGACTTCTGTGGTTTCTTCTAATTAAAAAAGGTCTTAAATTCTGACAGTGAGACAAGCAATGGCACCATCATTCACCACGGCTACTTCAATAAGGTCTTTAAATGAGATCTGTCACTTCCCTACGCCCCTCAACAATTTATAGAAGGAAAATCTCAATCCTTATTCACACTTTTTCCCTTGTAAACTCTACAACGACAGCTCAAAACTGTAAATCAAACTTGAAATGCTGAGGCTTTGGAGATAGACATGGGCCAGCCTCAGCACAACATTACTCCACTTTCAGGCTGGTGCTAACACCATTGATTTCACCCCACATCTTTTACAAAGTATATGCAGTACTGGCAACGTACTTACCTGCCAACACTTTAAGAACTGTAAATAGGGACATATAAGCTGAACCCTAAGGAAAGACCTGGAAAACTTTAAACTTTAAAAGGAAATTTTGCTCTAGGGAAAGGTACCAGACTTACAGCCATAGAGGCTGGACTCCTTTATGTTCCCTTTGGAGTGGGTAGAACATGACCAGTAGCAATGTAAGCTTTACCTGTCAATCTGTTTCACACTTGCCCACTGTGAAGTGTGGGGGAGTAGGTCAGTCCCAATGCCTGTGCAATCCTACTAGATTCAGGGATGGTGAGTATCTTTTAACATGGATCACAGAACAGTCGGTGGTGATAATAAATTTCAGTCATGTAGCTTGTGGCTCAATCGAATTACATTGGCATGTTCAAAAATACACCATTATGACCGAGATGTAGACTGGGGCTTTAGAGGGCACCAGCACAGAGGGAAAAGTGTTGTCTCATGATTAGAACAGAAGATGGAGCTGGGTGTGAGATGCGCTGAATTCCAATTCCAAAGGTGGAAGAACCTGGTCATCAGTGGAGAGTTGATGGAGCCCCATGTGTGCATCTGCACATTAGACTGTGTGATGATGGTTGTTTTGTATAAACTTTGAATTCTCCTGTGTGCTGTAGTTCTCCCATAGTTCTTTTGTGCTTTTAAAGTTTGTAAACAGGATAATAAATATTTTTGTTGTTTAAAATTCAATGCGACTCTTTTGGGGTCTGGGTCAGGGTGCAGCTGCATAGCAAGAGAGCTACAGGAATAGATTTGCAGAGCTGAATTATTTTTTAGAAAAGGATGCAAAATGGAGAGGAAACCTTTTCCATGCATTCTGACTTTAGCCAATGGATGTCTTTAAGGTACGATGGTGCATTATTTATGTTACAATAAACATTACATTTAATAATACACTTTGCACTAACATGGGACCTTTCAGGTATAGTTCATACAGTGTTTAGCAGTGGAGAGCATTGTATAGATCTGGAAGCTGAGGCACATAGTGAGACACGACAGTAAACCTAAGATGACTTGCCATGGTAGAAGGTTAGAGTAAGAATTATTTTCCTGCCTTCCCAAACCAGGATGTCTGGATTGCAACTCTGGACAATGGGGGAAGAGCAGGAGATGCATGTTGACACTGCCCCAGATGAATGAGTGTAGAGGGGCAGTGAATAGACAATACTGTGGTTCAATCCCCACCTGCTGGCCAGCAGAGCTGCCCCTGTATAAAGGGGAAGGTAAACTGCACCCCCCAAAAGGGGAGAAGTGACTTAGTCTCCTCCTCAACAAGAAGGGACAATGAGAGAAATGGTGCTTCTCCTGGAATGGCACAACTATGCACCATCCCCTACATGTGGTTGAGCCTAAAGTTTCAATCTAGCCCTAAATGATTTTCCCACAGGGAAAAAAGCAAAGAAATGGGACTAGAATTACCCCAGGAATAACTTTGCATCAGCAGCACGGGGGGCCAAAGTGGCTTTTGCATTTCAGTAATGAATGACATGGTCTCTAAAGCTCTTTGGAATCCTTAAGGGAGAATAGTATTATATTTAATATATATAGGAAGAATTCATCATAGTTTTGTGGTAAGAAAGAAGGACTAGGATTCTGGAGACCTGAATTCAATTGTCACCAATAGTTGCACTTGGAATGAATTTATGCAAAGTTTTTAAAGGGAAATGCAGAATAACTAGAAACTGCAGGGGAATTTATTTATGTTGGGAATTGGTCAAGGTACCAGGGCTAAAATCACTGCCCAGAAACCTTTAATGACTACACATGGTCAGGGCCTGGCTTTTAGGTCTCCACTGAAAGAGAAACCACTATGCTGAGAGACTGTGTTTATGCTCTCTGTATGTGTGTATATATATCTCCTCAATATATGTTCCATTCTATATGCATCCGAAGAAGTGGGCTGTAGTCCACGAAAGCTTATGCTCTAATAAATTTGTTAGTCTCTAAGGTGCCACAAGTCCTCCTGTTCTTCTTTTCACTGAAAGAGACTAACTCTAGTAAAATTCAGTACCACATTTTTGTACATGTAGGATTTCTGATTTTCATTCTTAACCAATTTTAATCAGTGTTTTATCTGTTTTTAAACAAAACCCCAAAGAAATTGGCGTTTGTCCAATAAACAGCAGAAAAACACTGG